GGTCTGGTTACTACCGTTTATGTCAGAACTGGTGCCATCATGGCACCGGATACCGGTACCCATCCCTACAGGTGACCATATGCCACATGGTCAAAGTGCTGCATCTTCTCTCTCTCCACCTTCTAGTCTGTCTTCACTGCTTTATTTAATCAGTGAACATAAATGGACAGTTACGGACAGCTGAAGTTAAACAATTTTAAAATCATAAAATTTGCCCGTTAGGGAAAACACAACTTCTGAATCAGAGGCTCGTCTGTCCCTGGATTCCTGTTAATATACTTAGGTCACCTCCTCTCTGTATGTTAATGCACATTTTTTACCAATAATTCCTCCTCAGGGCGCTTTGCTGTCCGTGACATGCGTCAGACGGTGGCGGTGGGCGTCATCAAAGGCGTGGAAAAGAAAGCCGCCACGAGTGGTAAGATCACCAAATCGGCACAGAAGGCGCAGAAGGCCAAATGAACGTTGTGCTGGGCTGCTGCCCCGAACGCTCACCATGGCCGAAGACACACCCCGCCCCTTCTGCACTCCATAGTCAGCGTCTGGTCTATTATCACAATGCATCGCAAAAGCAGACGAAGGAAAAAAAACGAACCAAAACGCCGTTAGTGCTCGTCTTCTGTCGGTTTTATTGCAGCAGAACACAACAGGTTTGCGTTACAGTTCTCTGCCTGTTGAAGTTAATGATTCAGCTTCTCGTGGATCTAGACGACAATCGTAGTGACGAGGCAGACGCGTTCTTTCGTCAGCTCTGTGTTGTAGCTTTAACAAAAAGATAAACTCGTTAGCCTGAGGTAGATTAGCTTCTTGCATGTTTGCACCTTAGAGAAACTCTCCGTGCCTCGCACTTTGCTCAACTTAAACTCCCTCCAAGTAGCTCTGATAAATGTTACTGTTAAGTTCACCTTAACCGCTGTTATTTGTGATTCTACGTTCATACAAGTAAAGGTGTTTAAACATTATCTCTCTGCTCCTCATTTCATTCAAATCAAAACCACCAAAAAAAACATCTGTAGAATTTCCTTTATTGATGAATGAGAATAAAAGTTTGCTTGCATTTACATTACAGGCTTCATAAATCTGAGATTATTACTAGTGTGTAAATATGTGAACATAATTTAAATAAATTAAAATGACACACGGACAGAATGGTAACATGTCAAAGGTCCATTTTTAGCTCCATAGCAAAATCTCTGAATATAAAAACTAAAAATGCCTCAAGTAAGGACCTAATGAGAGGAAATAAAGACAGTGCAATCATCTGTGTGGAGGAACCTAATGCACCTTTCAGAAACTAAATAAACTCAGATCAATATGTACCATACAAGCAAGGCACCGGTATACTGGATGTACTGCACATTTTGTAGACTTCATATCAGAGCTGGGCTCCTTGATTTTAAACTCAAGTGATGGCGTAGCATTCATTATCACTTCTAGATAGGTTTGGATATGGCAGCCTCTTCATGCAAAGGAGATTAAAATCCATTCTTCAAAGCAAACTAAACTTCCTCAAACTTTTCTGTTTTTTGGTATCTGCAGAATTTATTCAGGTGCTTTATGTCATGCATCTATAGATCAGTCCACGTTCTACCCTACTATTTAGCCTGTCTGTGTCACACAGGCAGGGACACTCAGATCCACAATCGTGGGTGAGGGTGAGCCAGAGGTGGACCAATCACCAAAACTGATCTGCATCTAGCTGTGCTGTAATAGTTTCCCCAAGTACCAGAAAAACCTACTTAACCATATCAAATGCATCTAATTCTCTAACATGCAACAAGGAGGTTTGACATTGCTTTTCTTGTTTTAATGTCAATACTCAGCGACTATACATTCTGTAGCCAGGAAGCAAAAATAATCCCCACATCACAGAGTACAGAAAAAAAAGCAAACATTGACCATGATTTTAAATAAGAGTTTAAAAATCTTCCCTCGTGTAAGAACAGGCCGGGAGAAAAGCCAGATACAAGAAAAACTCGTACGTCTAAACGTTTCCTTCAGTGTTTCTGAACCAAAACAAAGTGCTTTGCCAGGTCACACACCTGTTCTGACATTAAGCAATTCTCTTAAACCAGGTAATGACATTTGAGATGTGCTGCGATCGGCAGGGAAACCAACCGCTCGGTGCATAATTGATGTGAAGTTAACAGCCGCTGCTTGTAACCTCTGACGTCCTCACTGGCTGCTGGTGGGAATGGGCATTCTTCTCTGTACACGTGTGCATACAGCAAACTTGCATGCATGCCTTTGAAACATGATTTTAAGAGTTCAGGGGTTTTCCGGCCACCCATCAAAGACCAACATTTTTTAACATGGGGTTTAATTTATCCAAGGAAATGGCCAGAAATAACAATTTGTGTTGGCTCTTCATGCTTGGTCAACCCCAAAGACTCATTCTGACCAGAAAAATAACTCCCTGAGCCAATAGCAGGGAACTCAACCTCAAACACAACTGGGCATTTGAAAGAAGGTAACAAATAGATGGTGACCTATGACCTCGGGCTGAGGATTGGTGGTGGTGTTGACAAAAAGTGATCGTCTGCCAAAAACGATTGCCTGTATTTAAACTACTGTAAATCACTTGTTAGCCTATATTATATAAAACATGTATCAAATGTGTCCCTCATGAATGATATCAAGTCTTGAGCTACAACAGCATTCCTGCCACAAGGTAGAAGCTGCAGAGTTTTTGGCGTTTATATATGTAGGGCCGCACGGTGCCGTGCTGGTTAGCACCTCAGAC